TTTAGTCGTCATGGCTTACCACAGATATTGGTATCGGACAATGGAAGTCAGTTTACTTCAGCAGAATTTCAGAAGTTTATGGGTGACAATGGTATTCAGCATAAGTACAGCGCTCCATACCATCCCAGTACTAATGGTCAAGCAGAGCGCTTTGTGCAATCACTCAAGCAAGGATTGCGAGCTGCGCGACAAGATAGTGGTACGCTGCAAATCAAAGTTGACAGATTTTTGTTAGCTTACCGCAATGCAGCACACTCTGTGACAGGGGAGTCCCCTGCAACGCTGTTCTTAGGAAGACCATTGCGCACACGCTTAGATGCTTTGCGACCAAATGCAAAGATGCGTATTGCAGAGAAGTTGCATAAGCAAATAGAGTACAGAGACAAGCATGCAAAATCCCGCATTTTGCGAGAAGGAGAGCATGTATGGGTTCGAAACTACTTAGGAAAACAGAAGTGGGTACCAGGTTGTGTAGTAGAGAGGAAAGGACCATTGAATTATAAGGTCAGAGTAGACTCTGGGATTTGGCACCGCCATATTGATCAGTTGAGCAAAAGGATTGCTGAAGGGTTCACATCACCCTCCACAGAGGAGGAACCCAGAAACTTTGAAAGTTCAGAAGAGGGAAGTCATCCCTCCATCATGCAAGATTTAACACATGCAGATTTAGGGAATATGGGAGGACAAACTGTCTCCACTGAGGTGACCGAAGTCCCACAGTCTATCGCTGATCATGATCTTGAGACTAACCACAATATGGGAGTACAAGCCAAGACACCGGTGGAAGATATGCTTGCTCAATCAGACAGATCACCGCTAGTGTCACCAGTAAAGTTACGAAGGTCAACAAGGATTCGGAAACCACCTGATAAACTTAATCTTTGAAACAAAAGTGTAAGTTCATTCAAGCTAAAATAGAACTGGTTTATTTTATGCATAATCCCACACAGAAAAATCGTATATCATGCTAGATAACATGTGATCCGTATTTCTTTGTTAAAACCTGATATTGTTATATGTTAGAGTTAATCCGATAACAGTTTTCAAACATGATTGTAACTAAACCAGAAACCAGATGTGTTGTTTTTATAAGTGTTTGTTAAAAATATAAAGACACAGAGAAAAAGGAAAGGTGGACATCAGCATATTGTTTGTAAAGAACACAGGTAACTCAGCATAAACTGTACATGTTATTTTATATCCCAAGTTCATTGTTCTGGGCAAAATTACTCTTGTTGTCAGCGCACTCAGTCGATTGAAAAATGTTTTATGAACATTGGATTAGCAGGGGAGAGTGTAGTGTATTATTGTTAGATAAGGCGTTCCATATACCCAAATGTGTACACTTGTGTAGTAACAGGGTCATAGGTCAACTCTGCTTGCACGCACTGTGTGTATGAGTTGTATGCATTGTACATACGGACGTTGAGTCGTACTGAATAAACTCTCCGCCATAACCGTTCCACCACGACAAGTCGTCTCGCAATTGTTCATCTTTTCACCCACGTTTCGTGTTAAATACACGACACTATACCCAATCACCAATAATTACACGAAACACATTACAAACATACTCACATGCAGAGGTTATGAAATTTCCTGTTAATGTTCTAATATGACTTGTTGTGTTAACAAGCGAAGAAACTAGTCCACTTTTTTGTTCTTCGTTGTATTGAATAGGAAATAAAAAGGGACTCTGGAAAATTTCGTTGGAAACACCCGCGTACGTTTCACTCTTGCAGATATAGTTTGTCATGTATGCATATCGGCCTCGCTTTTCGGTAACGCTGAGCGTGATATTATACCGTGCAAACCCCGAGACGGTATGCAGCAGTCAACGCCGGTGGTATGCGTTGGGGTACTGGTACGATACGGGGCGGCGCATGCACACTAAACCCGGACAATTTATGACTTAATTTCAAGTCTTTGGAAACCCCCCGTCTATTTATACCTATTTTTAAGTCCTAAAAACTTTGAAGAGATATTTTACTTGCAAGCTCTGTACAAATGTGTCCATTCAATCCCTTACGCCTTGCATTTCCCACTTTGTATCCTCAATCCTCCAAATTCAACCGTTAACCATCGATCTTTTTGTTTTTTAGGGGAAGGGGGTTGTAGAAGGAGGACTACTTGTATTTATTGATTGATTTAAAACCATCTTTGATTTAAAACCATCTTTAATGAGGGCATGGAGAAAGGAATAGTTGAACGGCCCGCCAAGCCCCACAGGATATTTACTGTCCAATTAGCGACCCTGGCTGACCAGTGGTAAAGGCATGGAGGCCTCCCGCTGCGCGCCCACTGACCGACAGATTTACGACCGCGATAAGATCCTCTGTGCACAGGGTTCGTTGCCGCTTCGGCCGCTTCGGTGGAGCTAACATTCGTTCGTGTTTATATGAGTAAATAAAAAACGAACAAACGAACTAAAGCTTTTCGCATGCGCAGTAGCCGCCCAGCTGTTATTTTCATGCGCCATGTAATTCATCGAAAACGCTAAAAAATTCTCGATCTGCCGGTGTTTCAAAGCCCAGAATCCCATTTTCCTGCGGGAAAATACGACGATATTTCTTCGGATGACAGATTGAGAGGTAAGGAAAATTATGAATACATATTTCGATGATATTTATGCTGTTCCGACAAGTTCCGACGGCTGAAATTCGGGAATTTATATCGACACGTTGTCCTTTAACCATTCGTGTGTGTACTTTGGGTGTGCAGTCCCGTGCACATTTTATACAAGCATTCGTTTTCGGTCTTCGGATTCCGTTTTTATGATTATTTACGCGTGACTGTTAAACATTATTTGGGGAAAACAAGCATTACTCTCCCCTTCATCACAATGATAACGCTGTTTTAAAGACCGAAATCGTTATAAATGTCTTTTTTTTTTACATAAATTGATAGATGGATAGTGGATGATCAAATTGAAATGATTTTTTTTTTCATTTTATTTTTGGATCGGGATTTTCAATCTCTTGTTCTGGGCTCATGGTTTTTCACCAGACATGAGAACAATTTTGTTCTTTCGACATGTATGAGGGGGAGTGCCGCATATGTCTTAATATTGAATAGGCCTAGGCCTATTATTAAGTTGAAATCAACTGATTTTTATTTTTACTTAAATTATGGGCTGGCATCTGATCATATTGATTTTATCAGCATACTTCTATTTTTTTTATAGGGCTTATTGTTTCTTTATTTTTTCTTAAACTTAAGAAATTGTGACATGCAGTATTTAGTTTTTATTCAGACAAAAAAAAAAATCAAAATTAAAACGCAATGAATATTATTTTAATGGAAGCGACTTTTGAAGAAATATCAATTTCCAATTAATTTGTTTTGTTGTTATTTTTTTTTTTAAGTTTCAATATACTTATAGAGAATTGTGAACAATGTTACTTGATTAAATTATTATTTAATTAACAGTCAAGATCTATTTTTAATTTTTTTTTTGGTAGGCCAATTTTTAACGAGACTTGAGTCTTCAGATTTTATAACAATTTCCATAATTATTTGTATTTCTGTTTCAGTTCATTCATTTGTCGAGCTGGGGAGGCTGCTTCTAAAGGTTCCTGGTGTGAATTTTCTTCTTAGCGAGAAATTCAACCAGGATCCTTTAGAGCAGTACTTCAGCAAGCAACGGGGCTCAGGTGGATGCAGCGACAATCCAACAGTCGAACAGTTCGGCCATAACATGCAGGCCTTGTATGTTGCGTCCAGCTACGTCAAGGCGTCCAAGAGGGGTAACTGCAAAGTTCGAGGTGCAGATGAGGAGAAAATGACTGTGCTGGATAGCACACCCCTACATCGGAGAAAGTAATGTTATATTTAATCTTATCTGACCATAACATCTTTTAGACTCGTATGGGACCGTTTTAATTCTTTGGACTTAAGTACGTTGTTAGCTTGCTTTTAGCCTAAATGCTCAGCTCCCTTGTGTAATGAATGTTAATTAAGATGGACACCAAAATCATCATTCCTCATCGAGTTCCATTGCAGTCCATGCCATACTTTGAATTATCCAGTGAATTAATAAGATGAAGTAACATTTTTCTTGTCATATTATATTGAAGGTGGTTGCAGTAAACCTGAAAAGTAACTAAAACTGACAATTTAAAGAATAACGAGAATCTTTCATATCCCTGTTCTTTTATTGTTGAACATTTTTGGACAGTCTGTACATATTATCACTAATTTTGGATTTCATAAATTATTTCATACTAATTGTAGGGTTACTATTATCTACCAGAGTAACAAAGAAGTATCACTTGAGGCATGAGGGATGATATCAACCAAGTCTGTCATAGAAATGACTTCAAATCAGTGTAAATACATCATATCTAGGCTACATGAACATGAACTTGTATAATTGCACGCAGTCTCCATTACATCATGTAGTATCACATGGTTCAAGTCGATTACAATCTCGACAATACTTAGGATTCAGATAGAAAGTGAACTGTCCAATAAAAGCCAAGGTTCCTTTAACAAAATACATGTACATGTATAGACCTTTGATAATCAAAAGATACCTTGCGTTTAGTGTTAATTTAATTCTGTAACTTTGAATACGTATATGTATATGTACTACTCTAAGGTGTATACATGTACCTTGATTGGGAAAAAGTGCAGTTACAAACTAAAATACTGCAGCTGTTGAATCCCATTGCTGCTGTAACAGTTTCAATACAACGTAGTCATGCACGTATATTATTTTCCCTTTTAAATGACAATCAAGTCTGCTTAGATTACAGTGAAGTGTGTCAGCTTGGTGGGTAGTTCCTTTGTAGACATGGAATATCAAATCCATTCAATCACACACCCTTGATTTACATGCAGAGTAGCACAATTTAGAGATCCTTGCGTAGAGCTTTCTCTGCTTTTTTCCCTACGTTTCCACTGGTTGCTTTCTTCAAGTTCAAGTACACATTTATGAAAGCTTTTGCTCTGATTTTAATCCACTTCTTCACAGTCATGTTCAGTAAGTTCGTTGAAGTGTCCCCATTTATCTTTCCTTGTGTTAAACTGCACCAGTAGGTTTGTACCCGATGACTACCCTTAATGTTGTTCAAAAGAGTGCTCTGAATATCACATCCTGGAAAACGTTTTCAGATTATTCTTTGTCAAATATTTACAAGTCTCATGCTCCATGGATCGGAACAATAAATACACCCCATCAGACACACGAAATAACCCACCCCGATTTTGTTTGTCAATCCAGTCATTGGTGTATTGAAGAAATGTCCTAGCAGTTTCATCACTACAGTCTACTTTCCAAGATTTAAGGAATTTGCAATATGTAATAGCAGTGTCATTTCTTTGTTATTTAAGCTCTTGTACGGAGAAAAAGGAATATACCCGGACACGTATCTCAAAACCTGTTCTTCCTGAGGACTTAAACTCTCAAACTTTGTTTCAGCTGGGCCATCTACAGGTTTATCTGTTTTGTTTCTGTCTTCAATTATTGCCTGTAAAACTGCCTGCAATACAAATTGGCAAACAAGGTAGACGTGCTGCCCATCTTCGTACAACCCCATGGCTTGCAAAAGTTGTATCCACTTATCGTTTACCTCCAGTCTATACTTGTGAAAAGCTTGCCACAAATTCTCATAGCCCTCTGGTTTCGAATCTTCAGCCGTAATAACCACCCACAATCCACTAACTGTTGCTAAACAGAAATTCTGGAATTCTTGAGTGTTGATCTCGGCCATCAAACTCGCAACCAAAATTAGCATGCAGACCGCAGTAGGGTAGGCTGACGTTTACAAGCTATTGCAAAGAAAATGTGTGAACAATTTTATTGTTATACAATGTAGACCATAATGAATAAATATGTCAGGAAGCTGGACACATGCTGGAAGAATCATAAGACGAGAATTGAGATGCTTTTACAAGTTTTGAATTTTTTTTATTATAATATAAAAACATGTTTTGGAGACATCCAATTCACCCGCAACATGCATAAATGTTCAATAAATAGACATATGAAGTATGAACGTATTTACCAGGCTTTGTAGGTTTTCGAACTTTTGTCCCTTTCTTGGAAGATGACGGCTTATCCGTAGACTCCGATGTCTTCTTCGCTGTCTGACCAACTTTCCTGGGCGGTCTTGAAACTGTAACTGGAGGGGATGATTCTGCGGGGAAAATATTTTCAAAAAAGTCTTGACTTGGAGAGTAATGTACAGAATGTGCACTTTATAAATCCAATTACTTTTCCTTGACAATTGACATGCTTTAATTTGTAAGCGGGTTAAAAAATGAAAAACGAATGTTGGCATTCCCCTGCCTAAAATGACCATAAAGATACTGTTTTATTGAGATTTATGTTCATAATTATTTACCGATTTCTTCAGTCGAAGTTCCTGGGACTGGGAGTGGGACTGGGTCTGGGAGGCATCGACTACAAACCCAGGTATCTGGGATTGTATCGGCACAAACTCCAGCGCAGCTATATGCCACCAAACAACGGTGCATTGATCGTCATCACACGCGATCATCTCCATAGTGGAGGGCTCCCCGCATACACAATACTGCCGACCGTCATCTTCGGACTCATTATCGATGTCAGCTACATCGTTTTCGTCAAATTCTTCGTCAGAAACGTCGCTCAAATCGCTTAAATCGGAGCCCGTCACGAAATCATCTTTACCGTACGCCGCAATTTTAAAACATGGCGCGGGCGCAGCACGCAATCGTGACAGTCCCATAATGCTTTGCGGCGAGTGTCTGCATGGACTGCGGTCGACCGCGCTAATTGATTTACTGATAGCGCTCGCGGGTGTTTATGCAGCCTGGACCACTGCTGTTTTTACGACCGCGGCAACGAACCCTGAACCTGATCATTTGGCGCCCTCACATTACAAAAACTGTATCAATCCTTCAAAATCCAGATGATTAACACTATGATGTAGGACTCAATAATGCATGGGTGAACATAACAAGTAATTATAACGCCCTAGAATACCTTGACGCCAGCAGCAAACCAAATGACCAGCAAAGTAAGCTGAACAAATGGCCCAGCAACTACCCGGAAAAGGTAGCCAGCCAACAAGCAAGTTATAGCAAGTCAAGCAAGCAAGCAAGCCATCTTACAAAGCAGACATCATATAGCAAGCCGACTAGACAACCAACTAGCAAACCAAGCAGCCACTCAAGTAGCCAGTGATTTAGCTTGTTAACTAATGGTATTATTAAAACTCTAATTAATCGACGTTTGTGAGACTTAAGCGTGATGTCATTCATTAAAAAAAATCCGCTTGGAATTCTGTGTATTTTGTGTGACTTTCAAGCACGTATTTCTTGAATTTAAGTGGTAGACCAGCAAGAAAACATGTTATGTTACCGGTATCCAGACCGACGCTAAACCCTGGATGTAAATTTGATCAGCAGTTTATTATTGAATATTTTTTTTTGTATTGGGGGATGGGTAATAAATATTGTTTTCCTTGAATGATTAGTTTTAGCGAATTATAACCATACACATGTATATGTTTGAGGGTGACACAAAACAAAATCCAGTCTGCAATTCTTGTTAGTATGCAACAAAGACCCTTTCTACACCTACTTTGAAAGCTGTCCTTCAATATGTTCAGGTACACATGGGTACTATGCGCGGATAAATCAACAAACATGCTATGCCATGAAGAAAAGATTTGTGTGCCATAACTATCGTGAAAGCCGTTAACCTTTAGCCCGCTCATTCAAGCACGGCCTGCGGGTATACCGATTACAGCCCTGGATTTTCCAGATTTGTTGATTCTTTTATATTTAGACGTGAATTGGTTTTCCCCGTACGTACTTCACAAAAACTGCAGTTTAGAGAATTGTATTCATCGCTTGTAATATTGTAATCCTTTTGGAAAAAGACCAAGAACCATGGCTAAGCCTACGTTGCTTTTCTTAACAGAATATTCATAACAGCATAAACAGTAAACTCGTACACAAGAAAAACAATCCCCCGAAATCCTCCCCTAAAATCCTCACCATTTTCTAATACAGTGTATTGGGTTTTGCGCGCCCTTTGCCGACGTATTACACAAAACACTGTAAATCACTCGGGTGGGACTCGAACCTGCAACCTCCTGCTTAACAGAGCACACGTTATTCTTATAAAACAGTGCTCAATTCTACAATAACGACGTTTGAAACCTTAAAAAATGTTTCCTTCTTTTGGAGGTTTGTATAGGTCCATTGCTTTCATGCGAAGTTCCTTGGTATTGACTGTTTTCATGTGCTATCAATGGAATAATGAATAGCTGTACAATAAATTCATTATAAGCGAGCAAGTGATCAGGCCATTGTTGCAAGTATTTGTACGTCAACCACCAAATGTGCAGGTTGATATGATGACAGGTGAACTAACAACTGGCTAAAAGCTACATGCACCGCTAGCCAGCCAACAAGCCAGCCAGATGGGACCCCAAGAAGCCAGCCATGCAGCTAACCACTCAACGAACAACCCAGCTAATTATAGCCAGCCAACTAACTATCTTTTTAGCAAGCCAGGTGGCTGTACAACTAGCAACATACAGTGTCACGGGCAAACCAACTTGCCAGCCAACAGGCCAGTCAGACGTTACTGCCGGCCAACTGACAAAGTAGCCAACATATTGGCCAGCCAAGTCAACTAAAAGCAAATTGACTTCCAATATTTTATTCAGCAGCATGAAGGTGCACATGTTTATTTGTTTGCTTTTTTTTCTTTTTTCTTTAGGGTCAATGGGTTCAGTGTTTGATACGAAAACATCGGTACATTGTTGAGTCACGAGTTTGTATGATTATAGTTTTTATACTACTTGTTTATTTCTGTGAAGCTGAATTTTGTGTTTGGTCCTGAGCCAGCTACATTGTAATTGGTAAACGCATTAACAAGTATTTGTGGAAGTGTTTACTGACACTTGTAACCAAAGCAACCCTCCCACTCAAACACCACTAACCACAAATCATCCATTCATTTCATTCATGACACATTTGAGACCACAGACGGCTATTGAAACGGCAGAATTTTCTGCTGTAGATGAAAAGACTGTTCCATTTTATCAGCAGAGACAATTCATGTTAACTTGGGCAACTGTACACAAGCCTATGGAAAGTCTACACAAGCCCAATACTCCTTTTGCAACTACAAGGGTGCAGATCTGTAAATAGGCCCAGATATGCCTACGCGGGCCAAATCACAATTGTATACCCTCAAATAGTTTGCTATGACAGCATTTTATGGGCCATGAACTTGAAGGGTTTGCACAAATGTGAATGGGAGTCGTGTACAAGAGTGTCAGCTCGTATTTCTGTGAAATTCTCGAGAGAATTGCCCCCTAAAGTTTGCTACATGTTGCAATCGATGGGCAAAGAGACTACTTTTGGGGGTGATCATCTTTGGAATTGTCCCTAAAAAAAGATAAATAGGGCCTAACGCAACTAAAAATGAGCAGAAAACGAAATAGTATAGCAAGCTTTAATTTGTTGGGTTCTTAAACATAATGTGGAGCTGTGAGTATATTTAATATTGTTTTTAAGGAGAGGACGCGTAATTATCACTGAGGTCTACGGGAGTCGATTTGCAGGTCTGACATGTGACATCCCCACCCCTCTGGTGGATGTACTGTGGTCCATACAAGGATCTATTGATTATGACCCCGGGCATGTTGATCATGTGGCTGGACAATATAAAACATAAAAATGTGAGTAGCGTTGATTCCATGCTTGCTCGGGCGACGGTTTTTAATTAATTAAGTTATAATTTGACAAAACAGCCCATGTAATACATTCTTTATTAGCTTCGTGCACGAAATAATGACGCTAGCTGATACAGCTCTTTTTGGGGTTACATTGATTTTCAAACTACATGTATAAGTTTATTCTCAAGCTTTCGTACTAAAAGGAGTAACAAAAGAACTAACCATCAATTTACCAGTAGTTTTACGGAAATGTATATCACATGTTTGTTTACTCACATGCAAGTAACACCCAACATAAATAATTGACAGGCGCATTTTTGCGGTGGGGGAAGGGGGGGGTTCACTGTATCTCTTTGGCCCACTTCTCCCTCCAAATTTAACATCAACTGTATACGTAAGCAAAAAGTATGAAGTAATGCAACGACATTTTTGTTAAGTCTTTTGCTGTTTCTCCGATAAATCGCCGCTGCTAGTTTTGGCATTGTTCAAGTAGTGGAATTCTGGAAATTAAGTAACAGGACCGACAAAATTATTGTTCTAATCTACTGAAACCCGAAAGCTGCGCCTGTCGTTTCCTTTAAACCTATCAAACAACAAACGCAATTGCTGAGTAACTCTTTAAAATCCAATTACACAATCATATGAAGGCCTAGTTACAGTAGCTAGCTGCAATAATGTGATGTCTGTGTGGTCTATTGGAATCGCTTTTCATCCATGCTTACATCGGGTTCAATGGGCTTAGACTAGTAACAGGTTTCGTTTTTCCTTTTCTGTTAACCCTTTTTTCGTTTTTGTTTTGGTAAAGAAAATGTTGTCCTAGTTTTTAGTTGTTTGTGTTTCAGTGAAATCAAATGAAACATCTGATTGTGCTGCGTTTATATACATAATGTTAACTGTATACAAAGGAAAACGATTGATGATTTTGTTTTATACGCATCAAGAAAGGAATGCTGCAACTTGTTGCTATGTCCCGTTTTCTAAACACAGACTCCAAAACGGTGTACGATAAATGGATCGTTTTTTCTTTGTTTCTTTTAGAAATTAAAAAACGGTAACTAGTAAGGGGTTTGCTTTTTCTTTTTTCTTTACAGAAATTCAAAACCAAAAAAGGGTAAAGGGTTTGCTTTTCTCTTTTTTTTTTGTTCAAAAATTTTGAAACATAAATTGGCAAAGAGGTTGCTTTTTCATTTTTCTTTACAAAACTTTAAAACCAAAAATAGGTAAAGGGTTTGCTTTTTCAATTATCTTTTTAAAACTTCCAAAACATAAATTGGTAAAGGGTTTGCTTTTTCATTTTTCAGTTCAAAAATAAAAAAATAAAAAATGGGAAAAGGGTTTGCTTTTTCTTTCTTTCTGTTTACAGATTCAAAAACGATAAACGGTAAAACACGGTTTGTTTTTCTGTTTTCGTTTTTAAGACGCATAAACAGTTAACTGGTGTAAACGATTTCCTTTTTCTGTTTCTGTAACAGTAAGATTAAGATTAGGGTAAACGGTAAAGGGTTCGTTTTTTCCATTTCTTTTAACAATTTTCAAACGGTAGCTGATTGGAAAGTATGTACATTGACCAAGTTCGACAACTAATTTTATTAACTTTTCATAAGGCACGCATTTCAAACGTAATTATTAAACGTACAGCTGTAACTGGATACACGTACAACTACAGCAGTTCAGATAACATTCATTTTACCATCAGTGCAGTTTAGTTCAGTTATAAGGTTCAGTTCAGTGATTCTGAAATCAATTATGAACAGGGCCTTACCATCTAAATACATGTACATATGCATACTAAATTAACCCAAAACTACAACCAACATATGTACATCTAATACAATCTCAGAACCCAATAATAGCAAAAACTGGAAAACCAGCCAAAAACTGCAGGACATTTTGACACTAGCTCACATGAATATTCATGAATTTGGTCATTTAAACCTTCAAACACTAAATTTGACCTCTGACCGTAGCACATTACAAGAACGACGTGCACCTGGACAAAGAATTTCAGAACGTTAGCAGAAGTACATTGGATAAATTATTCATAGTACTGCAAAAACTACCGTACATGTAATAAGTTTGCCCTAATAACATAATTAAAACACATTTACCCTAACGCCATTCAGTGACTTAATACAGTGTCAATTAAAGTAAACAAGTGATTTAGCTAACTTTTGAGCCTAGTGAAACTCGTGGTGTTCGGTTTCTGATGCGTTGATCTAAAATTATAATGATGAGATAGCGCCCTCAAGAATCTGGCATCAGTGAAACGAAACTCGAAACGAAACATTGTTAATTTAAACGCATTCAGTGTATGAAAGGTCTACGCTATTATATGATTTCACTGTCCTCCTTAGTCATTGTTTGCAATTGCAAAAAAAAAATGATTTAATTGTTTTGATTTTCGTGACAAATTTGCTTCTTTCAGATTTTCAATTATGAAATGTTACAAAGTTATCTGTATGTAAACACGCCATAAATGTATGACAATTAAATAAAACATAATGTTAATAATGAATAGAAATGTGGCAAAATTAGGTCAAAGGCATACATAAGAACAATGACCCCAAACAGCTGATGGGTGCCGCGCAAAGTACATTACTGTAACAGTAATTAAAGCAGGTTACAGGGTAATCTTTAATACATTTTTTAATAGCGAGATTATTGTCAAATGATTGTTTAATATGATACACGATTGTAAATTAAAGACTAAAGTCATTTAGCAGGTGCCGCGCAAATCCCACTTACATACAAGGCACATATAGCATAGCAATTTTCTTCTTTTAACTTGAGACAAGTTGTTTGAAATTGAACAAACACGTTTTGACGTTGTTAAAGTATTAACATGTTTGTTTGATGGTCTTCATAACCATTGTTTGATGGTGGTCAAAATGTTTTCCAGAGACTTAAACAATAGTTATTCGACAACAAGATATATTGTTACAAACAACTTGAATAGATCAAACGCACAAAATCTTCATTTAATATCAAGCCACACCTCTTAATTAAAATGAATTTCAAAGTCCACCAGCAAATCACTGAACTCCCAGAACATCACTATTGATAAAACGAATTCACAGTCTTAAGGAACCAAACTGATTCCCATTCAACAAAGCAGAAACTTAGTGTAGAAATGCTACAAAACGGATTTTTTTTTTTTGGGGGGGGGGGGTGTGCACACTTTCTGCAAAATATGTGACTTGAAAGAGGCACCATAAATATTTTTTCTAAAGAAATGATGCCACTGTTCTTAGGACGCCTGCTGCCATCTGAGGCATTTGTAGTGCATCTTCAACTGAACTTTGAACGCACTGTTTACCTGCACTGACAACTACTTTTTTCTTTTCACTTGTCGAGAAGACACCAACAAATATCATACCCACAACGTGCCCAGGAATAGTAAATTCTGGTAATACTAATGAAATGGCTGGAAGACAGAGGTTGAACATTGTCTTAACCTCATCACTTACTGGAATATTCAATTTTTCAAAAAGAAATATCTCTTTAACGGATGCCTTAAACGCATCAATTCCATTTGCAACCCATGCTTGAGTCTCCGTCTCTTGTGATGCAAGTGCACCCTTGCCGTCCAACTCGTCCGCAATTGCGTTTAACAAGGCCTTTGCCGTTTTCTCTTCGCAAGTTTTGAAACCCAAGACCAACCCACGAATAATGCCGGAACCCAAATTGTTCAAATAGTTCCTGCCAAAAACTGAAAGAATTCTCTGTACAGTATTCATCTCGATATCACAGAAATCCAACAGTAGTACCTCACTGCATTTGAAAAATGCTGTAATTAATTCAAAAATAATGTGTTAAAACAATATTAGATACACGAAATAATTGGATCATGCTTGTTGTGTTATCTGTTAAAATAAAGAGTCTGGATTTGTTTAGAGTCCCCCCCCCCCCAAAAAAAAAGCAATCGCTTGCCATTGCCAATGTATCAGATTGGCAGTCAGTAGCCGTGTCACGCACGCAGCCCTGTTTGACCTCAGTTTCTCGTCCCGAAGTCAAGCACGCATGGCCCAAAAGTGTATGCGAGATTTCAGGAGATTTATTCGAGACTACATAAAAACACATAAAGTGCCTCGATACATGCACTGTTTGGCAAAGATGGCTAAATAAATGAAAAGTTGAAATCGCGTGCTTTATTTTGCTGTAGTACCCTATAAGGAATTTTATCATTTGATCATTTTTACTTCCAGTCAGCGGCTTCCCTCCTGGGTTTTGTTTTGGTTTTTGTTGTTGATATTTTGTTTTTGTTCCGTGGGGTGTTGGGTTGTTGGGGTGTTTGTTTGTTTGTTTGTTGGGGTGATGGGGTGTTTGTTTGTTTGTTTCATGTTTATTTTTTATTATTTTGGTTTATGGCTGTTGTATCTGTGGCCTACCTATATGTTTCCTTGTGTTGGTGTATATTATGTTAGTTGGTCAGCTTCTAATTTTTCTTTATTCATGATGTATATGTACTCATTATGATTCTCAATTGCTGTATTGGTTGTGTGTAAATTTTTACTTTTATACTTGGATTAGCTTTAGATTAATTTGTTTTGCTTTTGGGTATAATTACTATTAGATCCATATTTTGTTCCTGGTTTGTCTTTCTGTCTTTAGTTGTCGGTCTGTCGATAGGTCTTCGTATAGTTGCTCATTTTTGGTTGTTTCTGTCTGCCCATAATGGTCTTGTTATACAATGTACTTGTCATCCTCTTAAATGTGTACATGTATTGTCTTTTTATCATTCATTATATTATTCTTGGTCCTACACATGCCCTTTTTTCATTAGCATGTATCTTTGCTTGATTAGTTTTGTTCTTAGGTTTATGCTAATGTGCTTGTATTTTTATGATTTTATTATTATTAATCTTAGTGTAATAATATGTTATTTTTAAAGGTTGTTCATATTTGTAAATTAGTTTTGGTTTTTCTATTTTTGTGAATGATTGTAAAGCGCCTTCTACGTCATTTTGGCGCTATTTAAGAATTACTATAATTATTATTATTATTTTGATAGCAAAAATAACTGCTTTGAAAAACATTAAGTGTCGTTATGGCCTGTCAAAAAAAAATCATATTTGTTATCAACAAGATCGAGGGCCGATAGTTTTTAGGTGTACATCCGATTCTTAAATAAGGCCGAAACAAATGGCAAGGCTTGGTAGATAGAGGAAAGTATAAGCTTTGTTTTCATGTGAAACACGTGCAGGAGACTCCTAATGTTTGGTCCAAATCGGCGGTTGAAAAAAATGAAGACCTTGGCGAGATTTCATGATTTGCAATCACATGTACGCGTGTAAACGAATGTAAGTAAACCGACGTACAAAATGTACGTTGGCCTGAAAACATTGTGAATAGCACGTGCAAACGCGCAATGAGTGACATGAATATTATGCAGGCCCTACTCGAGCTCGTATGGGTCGCAAGGTCACACCGTGTTCCTCGCTTTATACTTTGCAATGGGGACGATCTTTTTGCATTGTCAAAAATGTTGTAGGAAACATTAGGTGTACATCGAATTCTTAAAATATTAACGACACCACGTCCACGAGATTGTTTGTATAGATGAAGGTTCACTCTTTCGTTTGATTACCTTAACATTTAGGATGCTTTCGTCGTACTCGGAAAAAAAACCAGAAATTGCATGACCTTTTATTTAGTCGGTTTGTCCGTGAAATAATATCGTCAAAATGCATCGAAATCCTTTTTTTTTTTAAACAAAATACACTGATAGATGTATAAAGTAGGTGTTTAACTACCTAAAACAACTTTGTTTGTTTGGATCGGTTATGGTTTGCCATGAAAATTGAGAAGTTTCTAATCAAAAAGCACTTTTTACGGCCATCGTTCGCTGGCCTCGCGTTGCTTTCAGTTGTGTGGACTAGAAAATAGAGGAGCTACGCGTGACACGGCAACTGACTGATCGGGGCGTTGACATTACAACTATGTGCAACAAAGCTCAGTCTTGCGTTCCTTGGTCTGTTAGTGGATGACTTATTAGGTCAAGATGATTTAATGAATGATAGTAAAATGTGTCTAATGCAAGTAAAGTTGATTTACTTACACTTATGACAACGCTCTTGACTCCTCGGCAATTAACTCCACCTGAAATTTGTACAGAGGTTTGTTTTATTCAAATGGTAAAAATGTAAACTGAATGTTAAATAGAAAACAATAATAGTTTAGACGAACATATTTCTGGAGAAACGTGTGTCATTTCGTTGTATCGTAAGAACTTTGTTTCCCTTATTCTAAACAGACTTTGGTTGTTGAAAATAACAATCAAACTACAACTAATTATTTAAGTAGGTTCCATCCACAATCTGTAGTGCAGTTCTTTAATCGAATGATAGCTGTTTCAAAATACTGACGGTGTTGCAAAAGTGCAAAAGTGCAAAAGGTGTACTTGTATACACATTCAAATCGTGGACTATGATCAATAGAGGAAATAGGGTCCGACGGTACACTGCTTTGTTGCGCGTTTACACGAGTGCATGCGAGTAGGCCTTCATCGTGTAATGGGAAAGGTTTTTTTCATTGTAAGCCAATTAGGACCGAGTTACAGTGACTTTTTGCTGTCCCCACAGCGTTTTCGGTCCCCACAAATACCTCACGGCGACGAGTGTACGAGTGTTTGTCCCCACAACTACGGAACAAGAAATATAGCGTTTGTTTATGGTTTAAATAGAGTACACACTGGTTACGCAGCATCGGGTAACTGAGGACAAGAGTCAAATCGAAGACGACCTCGATTATGCAACGTGTACAAAACTAATGGGAGCTGTTGCAAAAAAGGAGAGTATAAACAAAAGATCGTAGACGAGGAAAATAGAAAATCCTTGTTTTGCATCAACATTTTGTGAATACATGGGGTGAGTGAGTAGAACTTGATCATGGTAAAATCGCCTCTGTCCCTCGAAGCTTGCGAAAGGTGGCTAATCCCTAGACGCTGATGAAACGAAGCATTGGTATGTAAATAAATTAGCACTAGCGGGATGCCGCGCTTCGCGAAAATTCAGGACAAAATGGCGCGGCCCTTGGTTCTTGGAAACCATTACGTCACGCAACCCATTTTTTTCCCGACGACACTTTTTTATACATCCAATAAAGCGGCGCTGAATTGCATGCATGCAGTTGCGCTCACATCAGTCCAGACCATTTGCATAGCCACTGGGGGGGGGGGGACCGCCCCCCATGAAACCTTGTCGCCCCCAGTCGCCCCCCCCCCCACTGAGATTTTGAGTTTCTAAAAAAAAATATCATTGATCTAAATCTAAATAGTCGCGAATGATCCACATGATGACCACTGAGAAACGACCCTTCGACCGGCGACCGCGGACCAGTAAGCTGACAACCGGCGTGACATAGCGCATAATGATAATCTAAAATGCGTATTAACACCCACTGCACTGCTCGCTCAAACCACGGAACACGTATTATAGACAGGTGGTCCGTCAGCGATATCTCGCGAATCGGCCACACACAAACTTTTTCCTCCATTCATATAAGCTAAATAATAATAATAGACCCATTAAAATTCCTTGAAATCAGTCCCCCCCCCCATAAAACCTTGTCGCCCCCCCCCCCCCAGTCCCCCCCTGAGATTTTGAGTTTAAAAAAATATCATTGATCTACATGACGCCATGGGCGTCAATCTTGGGGGGGGGGGACAGGGGGACTGGTCCCCCCTCCCACACTTTTTAAAGGGTGGGGGACACAATATCGAATGCGCCCCCCCCCCCCCGCGATTTTTGAACTCGTGTCTCATTTACAGGGCCCTATTATATACTACAATGTATCTTTTGCTAAGAAAATATTGGTTCAAGTGGTCAGAAATTGCCTCAGATACGCCACAGAGCATATAGGATCCAATTTTTTTCGGGGCCCTTAAGTGGGCCCCGAACCCCACGCCTATAGCTCAGAATTCTGGTAGCTGATTCAATGACTCCAACCTCGAAAACTATGTTCAATAATTTTTCTTATGCCTTTAGCTGAGAAAACCTCGAAAATTATGCTTAAATTATTATCTTTTGTGCTAAGATAATTATTGGTTAAAGTGGTAAGAAATTGCCTCAGATCACACCACAGAGCATCGAGTATCCATTTTTTTTCGGGGCCCTTAAGCGGGCCCCGAACCCTACGCCTATAGCTCAAAATGCCGATAGCTGATTCAATGACTCCAACCTCGAAAATGATGTTCAAATAATTATCTTTTGCTAAGAAAATATTAGTTAAAGCATGGAGGAAAGTGGTAAGAAATTGCTTCAGATCACACCACAGAACAAGCCGTAAGGGCTTCGCGCTCGCATCAGTTCTGATCAAGGTATATCCCCCCCCCCTCACTTTTGAGAAGCGATTGACACCCCTAAATGACGCCCCCCCCCCCCCATTTTCTTCTTGTTTACATTATTTTGAAAGTAAAAAAACCAGTTTATATGGAGCTTGGATGGAGAAATCAGGAAGTGGAGACTTATTTAATTTTTCGACACTTTGATTTTCACTTCAACATATACCCGTGTATGTTAATTTCAATTTACAACCAAATCATACCCATCTGAAACAATTTCGTTATCAAATCCTGAAAAATCCTGACAAAAATCCTTTTATCTTAACCCAAATTAATCCTGGAATAGTCCTGAAATAAACCGTCATTACTACAAATATAATATAGTTCAGTGATAAAGGCTCTTTCCACAGTAAACTTGCAGTATAACTATATATGTGTTAGCAGCTATATTGTTTATCAAACCATAATTATAACTCACCAAGACAGGACCGCCAATAAGGACCGCACGCTCTATCAGCCCTCTCTCGGCTCCAGTGAAGCTAGCTGACCCTATAGTGCAACCTATACACGTGTAAATAAATGACAACGTACTTGATTTAGCTGTGTGTGAGTTGAAACGTATTATGCAAAACTCGATCATACTCTCGAACTGAAAGTGTTTAGACTCTATATCAGACTATAACCTTCTCTTACTAGTTTCGAAAACGAACGCTGACAGATCACTACTTTACAGGAATGGTGACCTAGCGGCGCGAAAACTAGATGTAGGCTTGTGCTCACACTAGTGGCGTGGCGCAAGCACTGTACCTCAGCTCAATCCGTATCCTGCGTAATACCGTTGTGAATGCACGTACGTAACATTATTGGACAATAATACTACTTCCCTTTGTTTTGTATTTACATAGGTTTACCTAGGCTGCATAACATGTTTTTTTTTTTTTCATTCGAGAGCCGAAATGGGGTCAGTCTGAAATGAAAACCATAGCCTAGATTTGAAAAGAGACACACTATTGCGGAAGTGGAATTTTTGGGGGATTTCTGCTGCAAGTCAAATGTTGCGAAATTCTTTAGAATGTGGGACATTCCCATTACTCATTGCATTTTAACTAATCCAGGCACGCAATTCTCCAGTTCACGCACCGAGGCCAGCTCTCTTCAATGGTTATATCATCGTGCCAGTGGAATATTTTTTTTTTCGGAGAACCTAATGTTGTTGGAATTATTTTGAAAGTATATACATTTTCATATGAACCTTGAGGGACAGACATCAAGTTTGGAAAATTGTTGAGAATTGTAGACACCATTAAATATGTTCATATTCAAAAAGTCTGTACCGGTCCCCCTTCCTTTGAAAGGAGGCAGCATATTAAACACTCTAAAAGTTGTTAGAAGAAAGTCCCCAACAACCAATCCAACAAAATATCGTACACTTGACCAAACATAAAATGGAAATTAAACACTTGTTTATCGAAAAAAAAAAAGTTTCACCCTACCTTGAGATAGAAGATCAATGCAAAGACAGTGCAGCATTTCACAAACTTTGTTTTCCAAATTGGCAACACAGGCCAGTCCCGGGGCAATGTGTTTTCAGCTCTAGGATAGGCAACATTTAAGATCCCTGGTACCGGATTTGTATGTGAAAAAAACGCGCATTTACACTTCCCCGGCACCGTCGATCTGTGCCTTGACGCAATAATACGACTTGGTGAGTTAACAAGCAAAGAAACTAGTTCCCTTTGTTGTTCTTCGTTGTATTGAATCGGACGTGAAAAGGGGATCTGGGAATTTTCGCTGGAAATACCCGGGTACGTTACACTGATGCAGATATAGTTTGGCATGTATGTATATCAGCCTGGCTTTTTCGGCTAGATTTTTTTCCCCAAAAAAATATGTCAGATCTAGCAGAAAATCGGTTAAAACGGTCACGCAGCGTTATATTATACCGTGCACTTTACGTAACCCCGAGACGGTATGCTGCAGTCAACGCCGGTGGTACGCATTGGGGTACCGGTACGATACAGGGCGGTGCATGCGCACTAAACTTGGACAATTACTGACTTAATTTCAAGTCTTGGGAAACCACCGTCTATTGATACCACCTCCTAAAAACTTTGAAGAGATATTATTACTTGCAAGCTCTGTAAAAATGTGTCCATTCGTTCAATCATTTATACCTTGCATTTCATACTTTGTATCCTCAATCCTCCAAATTCATCCGTCAACCATCGATCTTGATTTTTTTTTTTAGGGGAAGGGGGTTGTAGAAGGAGGACCACTTGTATTTATTGATTGATTTAAAACCATCTTTAATGGGGGTAACCCATCCAGCAAATGCTGATTATTTTGGGGCCCTCACATACAAAAACTGTATCAATCCTTCAAGATCCAGATGATTAACCCTATGATGTAGGATTCAATAATGCATGGAGGAACAAAAAACAAGTAAAGCCCTAGAAGACCTTGACGCCGCGCCAGCCAAATAGCCAACCAGCAGCAAGTCAAATGACCAGCAAAGTAAGCAGAACAAATGGCCCGGCAACTATCCGGAAAAGGTAGCCAGCCAACAAGCAAGTAATAGCAAGTCAAGCAAGCAGGCAAGCCATCTTACAAAGCAGACATCATATAGCAAGCCGACTAGACAACCAACTAGCCAACCAAGCAGCCACTCAAGTAGCCAGTGATTTAGCTTGTTAACTAATGGTATTATTACAACTCTAAATAATCGACGTTTGTAAGACTTAAGCGTGATGTCATTCATTAAAAAAAAAAATCCGCTTGGAATTCTGTGTATTTTGTGTGACTTCCAAGTACGTATTTCTTGAATTTAAGTGGTAGGCCAGCAAGAAAACATGTTTTGTTATCGGTATCCAGACCGACGCTAAACCCTGGATGTGAATTTGATCAGCAGTTTATTATTGAATGTTTTTTTTGTATTGGGGGAGGGGTAACGAATATTGTTTTCCTTGAATGATTAGTTTTAGCGAATTATAGCCATACACATGTATATGTTTGAGGGTGACACAAAACAAAATCCAGTCTGCAATTCTTGTTAGTATTCAACAAAGACCCTTTCTACACCTATGCCTACTTTGAAAGCTGTCCTTCAATATGTTCAGGTACACATGAGTACTATGCGCGGATAAATCAACAAACATGCTATGCCATGAACAAGGCATTTGTGTGCCATAACTATTATGAAAGCCGTTAACCTTTAGCGCGCTCATTCAGGCACGGCCTGCGGGTGAACCGTTTATAGCCCGGGATTTTCCAGATTTCTTGATTCTTTTCTATTTAGACGTGAATTGGTTTTCCCCGTACGTACTTCACAAACACTGCAGTTAAGAGAATTGTATTCATCGATTTGTATATTGTAATCCTTTTGGAAAAAGACCAAGAACCATGGCTAAGCCTACGTTGCTTTTCTTAACATAATATTCATAACAGCATAAACAGTAAACTCGTACAAAAGAAAACAAATCCCCCAAAATCCTCCCCCTAAATCCTCACTATTCTATAATACAGTGTATTGGGTTTTGCGCGCCCTTTGCCGACGTATTAAACAACACACTGTAAATCACTCGGGTGGGACTGGAACCCGCAACCTCCTGCTTAACAGTGAACACGTTATTCTTATAAAACAGTGTGCAATTCTACAATAACGACGTTTGAAACCTTAAAAAATGTTTCCTTCTTTTTGAGGTTTGTATAGGTCCATTGCTTTCATGCGAAGTTCCTTGGTATTGACCGATTTCATGTGCTATCAATGGAATAATGAATAGCTGTACAATTAATTCATTATAAGCGAGCAAGTGATCAGGCCATTGTTGCATGTATTTGTACGTCAACCACCAAATGTGCAGGTTGATATGATGACAGGTGAACTAACAACTGGCTAAAAGCTACATGCACCGCTAGCCAGCCAACAAGCCAGCCAGCTAGGATCCCAAGAAGCCAGCAATGCAGCTAACCAGTCAACAAACAACCCAACTAACTATAGCCAGCCAACTAACTATCTTTCTAGCAAGCCAGGTGGCTGTACAACTAGCAACATACAATGTCACGGGCAAACCAACTTGCCTGCCAACAGGCCAGTCAGACGTTACTGCCGGCCAACTGACAAAGTAGCCAACATATTGGCCAGCCAAGCCAACTAAAAGCAACTTGACCTCCAATATTTTATTCAGCAGCAAGAAGCATGAAGCTGCACATGTTTATTTGTTTGCTTGTTTTTTTTTTCTTTTTTCTTTAGGGTCAATAGGTTCAGTGTTTGAAACGAAAACATCTCTCCTTGTTTATTTCTGAGAAGCTGAATACTGTGTGTTTGGTCCTGAGCCAGCTACATTGTAATTGGTAAATGCTTAACCCTAAAGGGGCCGGGTTATTTTGACCATCTCTCAGCCGGGTGGGGAGGGGGGGGGGGTTTGCGGATTCCGCCCCCCCCCCAAGATCTCGGCCATCGAGTGACAAACAATTTTGAAACTCAGCACATGTATAGAGCAACTCTTCCTTAACATGCCCAAGAAATTTCATGACTATAGGTCAAAAGGTTTTGGAATTATGGCTAATTAATTATTCATATGTATGAAAGGCAATTCTGCTCGGTGTACACGACGTATATGCGAACATTCAGTTTTCACGGCGCGTAGCGCCGGAAAATTTTTCGCTACGGGCCAACCCGTGGTCCGATTTTTATGTTTTTGGTATCAAAAGATGCGCAAAGCTCGAGGCTAAAAAGTCAGAACAGCTCGGGTCGCGAAAAAATTTATTTTAGAAGCTATCGCGGAAAATGTTGAGGGGGGGGGGCGGATTCCGCCCCCCGGCCCCTTTAGGGTTAAACAAGTATTTGTGGAAGTGTTTACTGATACTTGTAACCAAAGCCACCCTCCCACTCAATCACCGCTAACCACAAATCATTCATTCATGCATTATGACCCATTTGAGACCACAGGCGGCTATTGAAACGGCAGAATTTTCTGCTGGAGATGAAAAGACTGTTCCATTTTATCAGCAGGGGCAATTCATGTTAACTTGGGCAACTGTACACAAGCTTATGGAAAGTGTACACAAGCCCAATAATGTATTACATGGGCAGTTTTGTCAAATTATAACTTAATTAATTAAAAATCGTCGCCCGAGCAAGCATGGAATTAACGCTACTCACATGTTTATGTTTTATTTTGTCCAGCCACATGGTAAACATGCCCGGGGTCATATATCAATAAATCCTTGTATGGACCACAGTACATCCACCAGAGGAGGGAGGGGGGGGGGGTGTCACATGGCAGACCTGCAAATCGAATCCCGTAGACCTCAGTGATAATTACGCGTCCTCTCCTTAAAAAACAATATGAAATATACTCACAGCTCCACAATGTTTAAGACTCCCAACAAATTAAAGCTTGTTTTATACTATTTCGTTTTCTGCTTAATTTTTGCTGTATTTATTGATGTATTTCATTCTCTAAACTGCAGTTTTTGTGAAGTACATACGGGGAAACTAATTCACCTTTAAATAGAAACGAATCAAGAATCTGGAAAATCCCGGGCTATAAACGGTATACCCGCAGGCCGTGCTTGAATGAGCGGGCTAAAGGTTAACGGCTTTTATAATACTTATGGCACACAAATCTATTGTTCATGGTAAAGCAACAACTTGCTTGTTGGCTGGCTACCTTTTTCCGGATAGTTGCCGGGCCATTTGCTCTGCTTACTTTGCTGGTCATTTGGTTTGCTGCTGGCGTCAAGGTCTTCTATGGCGTTACTTGTTATGTTCACCCATGCATTATTGAGTCCTACA